AGTAGGGGGCATGTGTAAAAAAACAACCAAAAGCTCATTTCCTGTGTATGTAGAAGACAGACAACTTCCACGTACAAAATGAGCGCCATACTATGGCTTTTAACATATATAAATACAAATTCTTTGTTTTTAGAGGGAAAATGTCCCCAGCGGGTTCCTAAACATTAATTTTATCTCATCCATAATGCTATTACAAAGGAAAAATGGCTGCAGTCTGGCTTACTCGTGCTACACACTTGAGCCTGAGTGCAGCCATTTTGTTTTTGGGCCCTACTAGGCCCTTAACCTGACAGCAAAGGTTGGGCTGTGAGGTCCGGGCTCATAACAGGAACACACCTGAGGAGGGGAATATATGGATTGTTTATTGTCACAGCTTAGAGGCAAACAATGACTAAAGAGTGTACAACAACCTCCCCCCGTCTCCAAGCGACCGGAGAAAGCGGCAATTACACACCGGCAAATTCGGCAATCACCTCAGGTGCACACGACGGCTGCACGGCAAAGCGGGAAACCGCTCACCTCGCACGAGGACACTCGTGACGGTAACGCCCTGTAAGTCCCGCCGCCACGTGTCCTGCTGATCTCAAATGGGGCCACGCCCGCCGAGGGCTCCGATTGGCCGGGGCGTGGTCTGTGCGTCACCTGCATCCAGAGCAGGCTGCGTAAGGATAGAGTGAGCGAGGTGAGAGGGTCACCGGGAGCGGAGCGGCGGAGGAGGCATGAGCCGGGGGAGTGCGTGATCGGAGCCGACACCAACCCGCATGTACCGGCAGGTGTGTGTGTATGATTGGGGCGGACACCCTCCGTATGTGCAGGCAGGTTTGCATGTGTTAATGCTGCTGTGCACGGTATGGTTATGTTCCCCTTATTTACATGTAACACCCTCACCTGTATGTCCATAGCTCGTATGTGATGTTATATGTCCATAGGTCATACATGATGTCCATATCTCATACGTGATGTTATGTCCATATGTCATACATGATGTCTAGATCTCATAAATGATGCCCATAGCTCATGCATGATGTCATACCTGTAGTTCTATACTAGAGTGTGTGTGGTTGTTACATGTATAACATACAGCTGTATCAGTGTGTGATTGTTGCATGTATGGAAATGTAAATATCATGGAGTGTGAGATTGTTACATGTCATACATGTGATGACCTTACACACCGGCTAAACCTTTGTCATACATGTATCTATTATATATTATGTACATGTGTCCTACCGCTATACACTGTATAGCAATCCTCCCACCTGCCATACCCTGTCCATGCAGCATGAGATACGGAAAGCTGTCCCGTGTGTATCGTACATGTAGATGTATCCATGTGATCACCCATCATGCTACATCCTGGATATTATTTCACATTCTCTGTGCTCTCGGTCCATTGTGATCTGCACTGTGATTGGCTGCTGCTGTGCCCGTCATACCCATAAACAGCCCTTTGCATGTGTGATTTGTTTCAGTGTCATGACACAGAGATGACAGTTTGCTGATCTTTATTCCGGTTCTCCGGCCGGGAAATGAGTTCCTTGTGTGTAAATCATTGTTTATTGTCATGTGATTGATGGGCTCTGTGTGTTCAGTCCTCCCATCATAACACGGCGTCGCTTCCTCCCAGCGTTCGGCTCTGTGCCGGTACTTCCAGGAATGGGGGGGAATCTCACCGATGGGATTATCTGTAATGGACGTGACAAACTTGTGTCTAAAATATTCTGAATATTCATTTTGGGTGGAATTGGAAGTTAAACAGGAACTTCTCCCTGACGGCGCACTTACCTCCCGGATATTCCCCTCCGGCGTCGCCATTTTTACCCATCCTGTGTATGCGCAGATGTGCTGCAGGTCTCTGCCAGGTATTTGGGACGAAGCGGAGATCAGTGCAGGACATCTGTGCACGCGTGGGATGTGTAAAGCGCAGATCCATGCCGATGGTTACTTTGTGGGACCTCGCAGAGACGTGTGGCATCTGTGCACATGTGTATCTGCTGGCTCCCGAATACCTGGCAGGCACGTGCAGGGACCTGTGCGGCAGATCACTGTGCATGCATAGAAATGCTGATGGTTTCTGATATTTAGGACCTTGCAGAGACTTGTGGCATCTGTGCGCAAGAATCTCACGTGTTTGTCAGTTCCTGAATACCTGGCAGGGACCTGCGCACGTGCAGGAGATCACTGCCCATGCATAGAGATTCTGATGGTTTCTGGTATTTGGGACCTGCAGCATCTGTGTGCAGGCATAGGAATATCCTGCGCATGCACAAATGTGCCGCAGGTCCCCAATGCCTGGCAGAGACGTGCAGCATCGGTGCGCAGGTATAGGGATCTCCCGCGCAGACGTGCTGTAGGTCCCCAATGCCTGACAGAGACCTGCAGTAAATCTGCACAGGACCGGATCTCGCAGCGTTCCTGAATGAAATATTACCTCCTGGGATGTACTGTGGCAATCCGAGGCGGCATTGGGGCATCGCTACGGAATTCTTGCCGGGGTCGGGGCCCGAAGGGAAATAATTTTTTGAAATGGGTGGTGTCCCCTTTAAATAAAAAAAATTCCCCCCGTTTTGCCTCAATATTTTTGTTTGCTTCTCATTGGCAGCGACGTGACTCCAGTATATAATATCAGGTTGTTCCCGTCTTTGCGGTCGCTGGCACAGGACTCCTGATGTCATTCTGCAGAGGAGTAGACTTATTGGATTGCAGGGCTCACATTGCAGCCGTCATGGGTGCAGCTTCTTGCACAGTGTTGTTATTCATCCATCATCTTCTGGATTGACGTCACTGGCCGGTGCTGGTCTGCAGCCCGTGTTGACACATTCTTCTTGCACGGCATCCTGGGAGATGGTGCGCGCTGATCCCATCTCATTACTGTCACAGCGGAGTTGTGGTCCTGCAACAATGCTTAGTGGTGGGAAATTTGGAGACGGGGCAGCTTAACCCCTCCCGATTCGGAGTATGGGGCCCGGGTATAATACCTAATCATATGTGGGCCGTGCATGCAGAGAGCAGCTGTCATTACACGTGTGGCTGTTGTGGATTATATTTAGCGTAAGCCGGGCAATCGGACCTGTCGCAGCTGCGTTCCCTTACCTGTGGATTCATCTTTCACACGTGACGAGCTATAGATTTAAAGGTAGAGGTACACATTTATTGTAAACCTGTGGCAGCCATCGGAGATGTTGTTGTTGTTGTAATACAGAATTTCTATAGCGCCAACAGTTTGCGCAGTGCTTTACAATATAAGGAAGACATTACAATCACAATACAATACGATTCAAGACAAGATTGTTAGGAGGGCCCTGCATCTGAGGGCTTACAATCTAAAGGGAGGGAGAAATGATGCATGAGAAGGTTGCTAACAAGTCATTCGTTATTGTGATACAATGTGGCAGGTACACTTCCTAGCCTGCATGATGAGGGTGCAACTTGTAACGAGACACTGTCACCTTGCAAAGAGGTGATGCCTATGTAAAGTTGTCGTCCCATTCTCCCCTCCTCCCCTCCTTCTGATATTTGCCTTACCATTACTCCCTCCCTGCTCCTTCCTTGGTTGCAGCCAGCACCTATTTTCCATGGTGTCAGGCGCCCTCAGGTCCCTTTAGTGTTGGGCCATTAAACAGTTGCGCTGCAGGGACCTCTGCCACATCCCAAATATTTGGCAGAGACCTGCAGCACATGCGTGGGATGTTTAAGAATGGTCCGACACCAAAGGACCTGAGGGCTCCCTCTTGTCTAGCTTGGGCATAGCACTTTGTATGCTTAGTGCAATGCCCACAGTGACGTCAGTGGTCCTTAAGGTGCCCATATACTGCTCGATTCTCGTACGAGAATTGTGGGAAATCCCGCAATCGTACGAGAATCGTGCAGTGTGAACGAAGACGTGCGACCGTTTCTACTGTACGGTCGCACGTTTTTTGTCTAGGGAGCACGCTAGAAAACCAGCCGAAAATCGTACGATTTTCGGCTGGTTTGAACGGTGCTCGGGAGACAAATGCCGAACTGGCCGGTGTGTGCACGCACACACTGCCCGTTCAGCATTGCAGTCATCGGAAGCACGATCTGCCTGTCCAAGATTGGCAGATTGTATGTTTTTTTTAATTACTTTACAACCATCGCAAGACTAAGGTCTTGCGATGGTTGTAAAGTGTATGGCCACCTTTAGACTGCCGGAGCCCAGGGAACAAGAGGCTGCAGGGACCAGTACCAGCCAGTGGGACCAAGGATCAGGGCAGTAAACCTGCAGACATATAAAATGAGCACTTAACCCTTGCAGGGGGCAGGAAGAGAACAGATTTTAATATATTTTTTTTTGTCCCGAGATGAGCTTCAAGGCTAGCTGGTGTAGCTTAGAGTGGTGACTACTTTACAACACACACCGGGACTATGGGGAACAAAAGTATCCCCCCTCCAGAAGGAAGGGCAGTGTCAGCACCAATTCAGAGATGATTGGAGGATCTACAGCCGAGTGATACACAAATAAGATACATTTTTGTTAATAGTTATGGTACTTGAATGCATTTTTTAAGATTTCTTTTTTTTTTTTGTTTTGACATTGGAATAAATGTAACTTTCTTTGCAGAGATTTGTTTGCTTTTGTACTTGGACATGAGAACCTGTTTCTGTCGATCAGTATACAAATAAACTGCTGTGATTCAATGTTCTATGGTGACAGATGATGAAAACATCCAGCAGGGCGAATCCTTTTTATAGGAGCGGAGTGTGTTGTTTTTATATCCTATATAATGTACAGTGTGTTCTTGTGACTCATGTGGGGAGCTGCTGCACCGTAGTTCATGGGATTGGCAGGGATCCAGGACAGGATGTGCGAAGCATGTTAATCGCTGGTAAGTCAGGAAGTGCCTGACACAGATTTATACAGCTCGGGATGTGGTTATTGTTGGCAGATGGAATGTACGACGAGGACATATAGCGCCCATGGTGACCCGGTGTGTTGCTGCGTCTCGTCCTCGTCTGTACCCCGGTGATGTGAGATGCCAATGTTTGCTGTTGCGGAGCGGGTAACATCCTGCCCTGGTAACCGCAGTACGCTGCTGAATGTGAGTACGTCATCTGTGGGGAACATGATGTTAAGCCAAAATTGTGTACTTTGTTATTGTGTGATCATATTTAAAATCGAGATTCCACGTTTGCAGCCGAATTGGCGCAATACCGACTTTTTTTGGTTGAACTCGATGGACGTGTCTTTTTTTTTCAACCTGACTTAACTATGTAACTATGTGTGTTGCATGTTCCCATTCACATAGCTTATTTCCTCGGCTTTTGTATATTACTAAACTCAGGAGTGTAACCTTAAAAATGCATTCAAGTACCTTAACTATTAATAAAAATGTCTCTTATTTGTGTATCACTCGTCTGTAGATCCTCAAATCATCTCTGAATTGGTGCTGACTGTCCTTCCTTCTGGAGGGGGCTACTTTTGTTCCCCATGGTCCCTGTGTGTGTTGTAAAGTAGTCAACACTCCAAGCTCACTCCCGTGATGGACTACAATGTCAATACAAATCTGTAAACTGAACATGAGATTGTAGTCCGTCACAGGAGCGAGCGTGGGGCAGTGACTACTTTACAACACACACAGGGACCATGGGGAACAAAAGTACCCCCCCTCCAGAAGGAAGGACAGTGTCGGCACCAATTCAGAGATGATTTGAGGCTCTACAGCCGAGTGATACACAAATAAGAGACATTTCTGTTAATAGTAGGGATATACTGATACTAGTAATTCTCTGATGCCTAGTATGAGGACTTCACTTGTAACAAGAAGCATGGGGACAGCTTCCCTGCTAATCGGGAAGCCGGGTGGTGAGTCATTACACGCCACCTGGCTTCCTGAATGGGACTTTCGGTATTCTGTATCGGTGAGTACAAAAAAAAAATATCGGTACTCGATACCGAAATACCGGTATCGGTGCATCCCTAGTTAATAGTTACATTTTTTTAAAATGCATTTTTAAGAATCAACTCCTGAGTTTAGTGTCATTTTGAAAGAACTGTGGGCAAAATTTTTCCTAACCTTTGCTGTAAGGCTACCGCCACATTGCAAGGGTTAGGTGCTCAATCCTCCTAGTGGCTGGCTGTTCTAGCGCTCTCTCCTACTGTACTGCAGTGATGGTATGTCCCTCGGTGTCCATGTCCTATACTCTATGTATTGGATGTGATGACTCACGGGACCTTAGCCCGCTGGAGCAGAGGGGGAGACAGGCTGGAAGGACCGGTCTAACAGCCAGCCAGCTTTGAGAAATAATTACGCAGTACTTTGAGTTATTTTAGATTGTAAATTCTCACGAGCGACCTCCCTTACCATCTTGTCTCGATTTGTATTGTAAAATGCTGTGCACACTGTTAGCACCATATAAATCCTGTATCATAATTTAGAAACCGCACCTGGTCATGTACGGAACCAGAACTAGTTTTCAGTAGCGAAATGAAAGCCTTTCCACAACTATCAGATGATCTGAAATACTACATTTGGCTCTTTTAACTTTCAGGTTGTAAATAAAGCCCCAAAAAAATGTTCTTTTCCCATCACAGATGTCCCTGGGGTGAACAGAAAAGCAGCCGTTTCAATGTGAACTCCAAGCACATGCGTTCTTCTAACTTCTGTGTTCCTCTAGTAGTTTGATCAGGAAATGTAACCTTTGCAGGCAGAGTATGTGGATAGGGAGTTATCTTTAAAAATTGCTGGTGACATTATCACAGGTTTGCATCGGGCCTCTGAAAAGTGCTGGGTAATCTCCCTGTATGCCATGTCCTTTTTTTTTCTTGGGAGACTTCCATCACTTGGAAATTCTGCTGGTCCTGGTGGCAGCCGCCGTGCTGGAGGCAGAGGGCCTTGTGATGTAAAGATCAGGGGATCTGTACAAAGTTTTAACATGTTACAGACAGTAATGAATTCACATTTATGCCTTTTAGGAATGAGGGGTGGATACAGGAATGCTCACCCTATACAAAGAGAGAAAGCATCAGTGACCAGTTACCATTACAGGAAATGTCAGCACATAAGCCAAACGCAGGCAAGTTTGAAAAAGAGTCCTGGACAGTGAGACTTAGGTTAGGAAGGAGCACATTTGTCCTATGTAACTTGTTTGTCCCAGAATTCAGATGTAACCTGTACAATAGTCACATGACAAGTATAGATGTCTCCTTTCCCCTGAACTCTGAGACTTGGGTAATCTGTGGCTATAATTACATTACAGAGTTCTGCCCAATAAATATACGCCAACGGCTGTCTAACACTTTCCACACATCTGTCTGCATGACATTTACTATTACTTGCACAATGGATGGACTGCAGCTTTGACTCGGTAACCCCTTCTATGCCTCGTTTTCCATTCTAGACGTCAGTGCGGGCCCTCCTGCTGTCAGCCGCCTGATTTTTGAAGTTTTGGCAGGTGCAAAGTTCACTTGTTGGATGGCGGCACAGCGGGCATGTAATTTGCACTTTTCCCATACTGCACCATTTTTGTTTTCAGTAGGGATTCCGCAAGAAGTGTTTGTTATGCTTGCGGTAGCATGATTCCTCCTAGCGTCATCCACAAATTCAGCTCTGGAACGTGTGGCTGTAGTAATATAGGACCATTAAATTGTGAGCACCTATAGAAGAAAGCCTGATGCAAATGAAAGTGTGCTATAAAATAATGCAGATGTTATATTAAAACCAATAATGAAAGTAATATTTAAATGGCTCCAATGTAGTATAATGGAGGGCTGGACAAATTCCAGGAGCCAGGTAGTCATTGCTCCTTTTAAAAAGCACAGCAGGTGCCTAACCTTGGTTGTCAATGGAGCCGGCTCCTTAAATCAGGCAGACTGGTTCCTGAATTCTATATAGTAATATGTACACCCCTGGTGTCATTATTTATCATGTCGTGTTTTTTTTCTTACAGTGGTTTCCTGGTGACCTCATCATGGGCACTCCGGCATCTGTAGTCAGCTCCCCTGAATGGCAGGCTCCGGAACCGCGAGCCCGGAAGAAGGCCTCTGCGAACATTTTCAAAGACATTGACCTCCTGCAGTTACAGACGCTTTTCCACGCCGGCGGAGATGAGTGCGCTGAGGAGCGAGCACAGATCATCTACAACTATGCTGGAGACAGACACATTGCAGAAGCCTTGATGAAGCTGCGAAGGAAGAAACGGAATAAAAGCTTTCGCCCTGCGTCGCACAAACTGAGCAGTGATCGAATTGAAACGCTCTCCATGCAGAATTTCAGTCAACTCTGGTGAGTCATTTACTTGTGCTTGAAGTTTCTTACAAACCCAACTGGCAGATTAAGCCTAAGGCCTCATGCACGCAGCTTAGAGTCGGCCCGTATAGATCCGTGCGGCTGCTCCCGGAAAGTATAGGTGATGCGTGTGATTTGTAAGCAGTAGCCTGTTCTTCTCTATGGGAGGACGCGGCCGTACACTCACCCGAGCTGCACATCCGTGCGGGTCCGGGTGTCCGTACTTGGGCGCAGACAGGATGGATCCTGACTGTGTCCGAGCACAGACACCCGCACGGATGTGCAGCTCGGGTGAGCGTAGGGGCGTGTCCTCCCATACAGAAGTACAATTACACACAGCACCTATACTTTTCGGGAGCGGCCCGATACGGCCGTGCATGCCGCACAGATCTTTACGGGCCGACCCTAAGCTGTGTGCACGAGGCCTAACTCTTAAACTTTTTAATTATAGAGCCGGGAAGGATTAAAGACACAGTGGGGTTTTTATTGCTTTGTTACCCTATTGGGGGGATATTTGTTCTGGTGACCACTGCACCCCCATTTCTTGTAGGGCTGTCACAAGACAAGCGAAGGAAAGTCTGCCCATGGAGGTCAGTTCTCCACCGTGTCCTATCCCAGTATTAGGCAGGGCTCAGGGGAGCTCATGGGATACTTCATCCCCTATTGTTACACATCAGATGTTATTTCAACGCCCATTCAGTGTTCCACTTGCCTTGAAGCTGAAGTATTCGCATATATTACCTTACCTTGATTATCAATCAGATTATTTTGTGTTTCAAGATGTCATCACTGGGTCAGTCTGCTGCTCTTTTGATCCAAGTTTGGTGGAAGGGACCAGCAGGCTCTTGTAAACGTCAACAGATCTTACTTGTGACTCTCACAAGAGTAATATGAAAGAACACATCTCCCAGATCCATCAATCACTGATAACACTAAACTGATGAGCGGTAAAAACATTTAAAGTGTCGCCTATGGCCAATTTTGGTTGCGGTCGTTGACATATTTAGTGTCTATTTACCCGACGTGACCCTGTCTTTTATATTATACCAAAAAATTGGGGTGAAAATAAATGTTTCATAACATTTTATAGGGAAACGGAATAAACTTCAGCCAAAGTACTGCAGCGCTGAATACTGAAAAATGACCTGGCCAGGAAGGGGGTCTAAACACTGCGGTCTTCAAGTGGTTAAAGGAGAACTATGGGGTTAAGTCTTTTCCCCATAGTTCTCCTTAGGTAACGGGAGGACACAAACTAGCGTCCTCCCGTCACCCTAGGCTCAGTATACCGCGAGCTGCTGCTCGCGGTATACTGAGACGCCGCAGCGGATCCCGACAATTATGCTGCCATCCGCCCAGCTGCGTGACTGACAGCTGGCTCTGCCTATCTAGAGGCAGAGCCAGCTGTACCCGCCCCGTCCGTTCCACCAGTCAGCGCTGGCGAATCGGAGCGGGGAGGGGGGAAGAGCCGTGACAGGATCAAGAGGTGAGCCAACGCTGGTATGTGTTCGCTCACTTCCCGATCTACTGAGCCGACCTGTGACAGTCTCATTGTCACAGGTCGGCTAGAACTATGAGGTGAGTGAAAAGCACTCACCTCATAGTTCTCCTTTTTAAGATGTCCTTGCTGGGGTGAATGATTGAATGCAGAGAAAGCCGATATCTGAGAAAGGCCGGCCAATGACAGTGTAGATCAAGGGGAAGAAGTAATTGCTGAATGATGTTCGTTCAGACAGAAAATGAAGGTGGGCTCAAGACTGCTGCTGCGGGTTGAAAGGGTTATATTGTGGAGATGCAAGTTTGCAGGCAAATGAGTGTATTCAGTTTCAACACATGAGTGGACTAGCTACAAGAGGGAGGGAAGGGATTGAAGTAAGGCTGGAGTTCAACCTAAGGGCCGGTTCAGACCACAAAGTCTGCGTTCCAGAGTGTTCGGCCTCTTGAACGCAAGCCGGTCAGCTCCCTACGTTCAGGGGCCCACAGTGTGATCGCCTGCACCCGAACACGTGCCTGCATTCCAGTCCAGTGCAATCTGCAAAAATGCTGCTAGCACTATTTTTGCAGATCACACTGGACCGGAGCGCAGGCACTAATGTGCCACGCGTGTGGGTGGGGGGGGGGGGGGGG